CTACTAAAAGTTTGCCGTTGTAGGGGAGCACTAAAACCTGTTATTTCTGAGTTTGATCCATARCCATCCATATAAATCATGCCCTGTTAATACGGCAAAATGTGGACAATGTCTGTGAAGTTTGTTCATAGACATGTCTATTCTTGGGGTGCATGTTAGGTCATTGCCGCTATGTTGATCGACTATACGAAGCACTCCTCATTAAGCTTCTCTTGTGAGATCAACCATGATGGCAGCTGTTTCATTGTTATTTATGTCTCAAGAGATTTTTAGGTCACGTTGCTGCACTCCAAGAATAGCATGAGCTATTATCAAATGTGTTAATGATCCAATGTAATGAGATGGTAGGTAAAAGATTTTACACTTACACAAAGCCATGCATTACGTAATAGGCTTAGGTATATTGTATCATTCTCTCAAACTGTCACGATTACATAATCTTAACTTAGTAACATAAACACTTGTACAATAGCCTGTACTCTTCGCTAGCTTATGACCATCCTTTTTGCTAAGAAATTCCATATATATCAAAATGTTTAATAGGTGCAAAAGGAAATATATAATTTTATGATCTGTTTTCAAACAAAACTATTGTTTAACATTAAAATAGAAAACGTAAAACAAAAAAACGAGTGAAAAAAAACAACATTGCTTCAATTAATATAGAAATCAGTTAGTTTAAGCACTGGAATATAATAATTTAATTAAATAGATATGTTTAAAACTTGCCTTGATATGGTTCTGAGGTCCCCAGACTTGGTGTTGTCGAGGACCTTGGTCTGATCCGGTGGTAAACATTTCCACCATACTTCCATCAGCTTTTCGGGTCCTTCAAAGAATCCAACTTCACACATGATGGTAGAAGAACTGAAAAATCCAGTAAAGAAGGATACATGCAGATTTTTTTCTTCTCGAAGGAGATAATGAAGAGAAAAAGAAGACCTTACAATTTACGTACTGAGCACGTGAAACACGCAAACAACGACCAGCATGACACCTTACCACAGGTAACCCATAAGCAAAGGAAGCCAACAAGCAACTTCAAACAAAAACCTCCTTCAAACAAGGAAAAATTAAATAAATAAGAAGAAGGAGTACGAATTCTACAGTATATTGCTGTGTTGAATTTTATTTTGCTTTCCCTTACATTGCTATAGAGCCGATACACAAGAACATTGTTTGGGCTACCTGTGTCAGTAAATACGATGTAAAACAATCCCAGGAACCTCTGCGCGATATTTTCTTTTTTTTTTTTTTCTCTCTTTTTTTTTCTCCTTTGAAAATACAAAAGAAAAAAAACGCATACACGAACCAGGCTAGGACCAGGACAATGTCTTGTTGATGATTACTTTAATRACATGTCTTTAGATTAAATATGCCGTGATACTCCGTGATTTTTCGTGCGTTAGACGGGATTTCCCATCGTCCCTTATTATTTTCCCAGCAGCCTCAGCAAGTATAGCACAAGAAACCAAGACAAAATGGCGGAAGGAGATGGTGGCTTTTGGTTTACAGAGCTTTCTTCCATGTCGAAACAAGCTTTTCGACAATGCGTAGCAAAATGGGAGTCCTTAGAAAACAAGTACAAAGAGCACATGTTGAAAAATCCCGACTTTGCCTCGAAAATAGAATCCTTTCTTCGACTTCTGTCGTATGTTTTACCAGGTCGTTTTGGAACATCAGAAGCTCTAGCAGAACTAGTTTACTCGGCATCACAACTGCTTACGCTAATGCACGATGGCGTTTTTAGACAAGGGAAAGGTATTCGCATCTATAACAGCGTCAAAGATGGTAGCAAACTTGTGCTTTTGTTGACCGTTGTGGAGTATCTTGAAGTGTTCATAGAGCTTGGTGCTGAACGTGTTCTTGGTGAAGCTGGCAAGTGGGTGATTGTTATTGTCATACAGATCTTCAAGGCTGCACTTAGGTTTTTCCTTTTGTTTCGATACAAGTCGGGGATACAGTGTTCTCCACTTATACCGCCATTAGACCGTTCAGAAATACTGAAAAACAAAAAAGATGGCAATGAAGAAGAGAGTACTTCTATTGATGAGACAAATGGCTCTAATGRCAAAAGTCAGACACCAACTCCAGTATGGGAAGGGATGAGGACCAGGCGTAAGATGAGAACCCTTACAGCTGTACCTACTGATGGCTTTCGCACATGGTCGCTACCACCTTTAACACAAGACAAAAGCAAAGACAATCAACCATGTGTTCCTACAGAACTCTCATCKAAAAGACTGCTTGGGGAAAGCCTGTACATATCAAGACCCTTGATCCATCTAAGTAGTATGTTCATGTTTGGAGAAAAGTCATGGAAACCTTGGATGCTTTCTTGTGCGACAGATGTTTCATCCTTGGTCTTGCTTGGCGATTCCTCAGATTTGAATGTGGTGGAGAAAGCAGAAATTTCAAGGAGGTCTTTCCTTCTGCTGTTTTATCTCTTGAGATCTCCATTTTATGACAGATACTCCAAGACAAGAGTGATCAGTATGCTGAGATACCTAAGTAACACTATTCCTGGAGTTTCATTAGTACTTACTCCACTCCTGGAATATCTACCAACATGGCAGAAGATATATTTCTATAATTGGTCAACATAAATTGCAAGAAAGGAAATGCTTGTTTAAAATGTTGTAGAAATGTGTACCCCTCCTGCCATAGGGAATATTTTGTAACTTTTAGCAGGTACTCTCAAGATGACATAATTTTGGTAAATTAGAGAGCTTAATGGTTGTTGGACAATATTATTAGTCCTTGTCTTGCCAATTACARTTTTTTTGCCAAGAATGGCCAGTCATCGCCATGGGCTGACCAGCCAGATGTGACAGCCATTTCATTTAGTCCTAAGATAGGATTCAATAAGCATGTTTCCAGTGTGGSAATATTATGTAAGCCTTTGCAAGTTTTACCAAGAGACCATAACTTTTAAGGAATGGAGATTATCCCAAATTTCCCCCCTTATTGTGTAGTCCCAAAAATTATCCATACCCACCCCACAGAGGAATTTGGAATTTCCGAAGAGTAGGGGGGTCAGGGGGGGGGGATGGATAATTTCTGGAACTACATATTGGGAAAGTCCCTCTCTTTCCATTATGGTCTCTTGGTTTTACAGTAGAAATTGTTAAAAGTTACAGCTATCTAAGATAAGCTATCTAAGATAAGATTGAAGGGGTTAATTGTTAATAGTGATTAGCGATTTCACAACTGAAAGGATATGTGGGCATACATCTAGACATAAACAATCAAGGTGTTTTTGATGCATTTGTAATATTTTAACTGCTACTTCAAACCTAAATTAACTGTTTTTGAGCTTTTGACCTAAGGGGTCTTCAGGACTATTGAAATATTCCTTGTAAGTGGTTTCTTTGACTACTACAAACACTAAATACATGTATCTCGAAAACATCCTCTGTGTTATTGACCAGAACRACAAGAAACACCAGTAATTCCACCTAGTTTTTAAATTTGATTTTATGAAAGAATACAAATACAACTGAATAGTTTACAGTAGCTTACACTATTATTACATTTATATCATTACATTATGGATCTATTATTGCAACAAAACCAATTATTTACCACTAAATTTACCACTGTAGTTTATCACAGGTTTTTACAGTGATATGTCCCATTTTCTTAGAGAAGATATGTGTTTGATAGTGATAATAATAATATTAAAAATAATAATAAACATGTGTCTTATAGGGGGAAGATATGTGTTCAATAATAATAGTAATAATAATAATAATAATGATAATGATAATAACAAAAACAAGAATAATAATAAACATTTGTTTTTTTTTTTGTGCCTAATAATACAATGCAGACCATAGGTCACATATTAGATAGTGAACATGATGCACACAGACAATTTATTGGTGCAAATATAATCAGATTATCATAAAATGAACAGAGTGCTCCATGTTTAATATATGTTCCTATCAGTAGATGCCATTTCTAGTCTTGTAGAATTTTTTGTATCATCAATAACAAACTACACAAGATTTATTCAGGTATTGGATACCAAGCAAATTATACATTCTTGTTGATAGCATAAAACTTGCAGTATTTGCCTGTCACCAGTATAAGGGATAGTTATGCGATTCATACATAGGTAATTCGGGTTGGTAAAGATTATGCTGCATGTTTGCTTCTTTGTTGCAAAAGCTTTAATTAAATGCACTATGGRCGATGTGAATGCAATTGCAATTAGAGAAAGGTCACAACAATATTCASCATTTTCCATACATTGGTTCCCTTGTCAAACACAAAGCGCTCAARCKAGGCGCCAAGGCACTTTCAAAGGATTATTCAAATTTGRACCTTGCAACCTCGACTGGATGCTTTGTGTTTGACCAGTGAACCGATGCATGGAAAATRGTGAATGGAATTTTCCCAAAGGCTTCGTCGGCACATTTTTCCTAGGCATATTTTTCTTCTCTGCTGACACTATTATTTACATATGATTCACAGTACATTTCAAGCTTGGTATATATGTAATCTTCACCAGTCTTTTTTTGAAATAGTCGTATYTTGATTCAGATGACTTGGAACTGATTTTTTATGTGCACTCGAGCATCAGGAAGACGTTGATTCATATTTGCACCTTTTGGAGAAGAATTGCACCAAGCAGAAAAAGCCTTCGATGGCCAATATGCCAACAATATGACTGCCAGGTCTTTCTCTTCCAATTCTTGCAAATAGTTGTGAAGCACTCACTGACATACATACCTGGTTGTACATATACAGTATCAGTCTTTGTCTTTGGACTTTGAGTGTGAAGGGGGTGTTTTGTAGTAATATATTTTTGTCCGCTGCCTTTTTTGGTGTCGTCAAGCAACTCTTCTTCCCCACAAACGTTTKTGGCCATGGGGTGCGAGATGACGTCTCTATTGAGAGGGAACCTTTGGGACCTTGGCTGGTGTAAAGTTTGCTTAATTTGCGCAATATTGGTTAATATTTTAAAAACCTTTTATTGTTTAATTTCAAAAATTGGCGAAGAAAATACACCAAATCGAAAGATGGCGACCAATTTGAATTGATTGTTCTGCTTAGCAACTGACTTAAGTATCTCATACACGTGAAAACACTTATATTTCTACGTGAACACGAGGCTAGTTAGTCGCTACTACAGTGCAGAATAATACTTATTCAAATTGGTCGCCATATTTTGATTCGGTATTAATAAGCGAATTCAAAAAGGATGTATGGGGGAAAAAACTGATTCAAATTCTATTGCTGTTAATGCATGGTATTAAACCCTAATATATTGTAAATAAACTTTTACAGTATCAGTAAATTCGATAAATCGTGTCCTTTTATTAAGATAAAGATTCTCATATGTAACAAAAATTACCAAATGGGTTTGTATGTTAGTGTTCGTGTCCGTGTTCTCTGAATAAAGGTWAGTTTCGAAGTAAATATAAGAAGAAAATTTTGGGGCTGTATACACAGCTAGTCTGCTAGCTAGTGTCCGGGTGTTCTCTTGATAAGGGCTCCGCCGCTCTATTCAACTAT